GATGAGAAAATGAACGATTAAGATGGGTTAGCATAGTTTGCACAAAATATTGGGTTAGTATTTGAACCAGCCCCTATATAGATATATATATATATATATATATATATATATATGGGCCTAATCAAATGAGAACTAATTAGTTTGTGGTAACTGTGAGAACCAATATTAACCACAAATCAAAAGATAAATTAGGAAATTTATAATTTTTTGTTTGATGGGATTTCATTAATCACAATTCTTAGCAGCTGTCAACTTAGTGTGCATCTCGTCCTCCTCCCGCTTTCGCTTCCTCACATCATATGATGAATCAACGACATTACCATCAACCGAACTTTCGGCATCCACACTGCTAGTAGCGCATGTTTCTCGGACCCGCCTCCCCTCTCCACTCACTCTGGCGGGTCGAGAATGCCGGATACCACCAGGAAAAACAAAAGCAGGTATATTTTTGGAGCGACAGATGACGATGGAAGCTTAAACCAAATGAGACGGAAGAGGAGCATATGAGATGGACTGATATATATATATATATATATATATATATAAATGAGACTGTAAGGATATGAGAAGAAAGAGGAGCGATGGATTAAATCGTCATCTTGGGGAGATCGATTTGAATCGTGGTCTTGGGAAGGTAAAAGCAATGGGGGATGTATTGTTGGATCGCTTCCACCACTATTAACACTCATCTGTCATACATCAAATACAATTATGTTATGGTTCAGATGTTTCTTTTTAAGAGATAACTAATCTGTTTAACCTTAAAAAGTCAAATATTTTCAATGGAAAAGTGTAATACTTGACTCCTTTTTGTAAATTTAACAATTCCCTGTCCGGAATTCAAATCAACTGATAAAAAATAAAAAGTTAATTATAAGCAAAAGATGTTAGTCCGAAATTCAAAATCAAATGAGTACTTCAAAAATGTTGAAACCAAAGAAACATCATAATACTGCTTCAATTTATAATACTATGTTCAAGATAAAACTACAGAACTAAATCACTTACCTCAAAATACTGGTTCCGAAAGTATGAAGTATGGAGGGGTACTTGAATAATAGCTCCTTAATGAATCCCATAAAATTGCTACAACCAACAAACATCAAGTTCAAACAAAACCAGTAGGGATAACTATGGGAAAACTAACATTGTTATCAACATTTTGTATATATAAAAAAGTTATATACCACCAATTTTCATACAAAAACAATATGCCAGATACCTCATTCATCATCTCAAATATGAGGTATAAGATCATATCTCATTGAAGAATCTACTGGAAAGTCAAAGACAAGAATAATCAACAGGGAGTGGAGATTCACAAGAACTCCCAACAAATACTTTGCTTTGGGGGAGATAAAACAGAAAGTTACAACTTTGACATCTCAATTGAAAAAGAGGCAATAGTCATCATCAAGCAACTATTTTAACTACAACATCTTCATCGCCTAGATCATCATAGACAAATAGACCAAATTAGTCCAGCCAGCATTAGTGTCAAACAAGGTTGATTGATTAAAGAGAACTTTGAGCAGCAGTAGAAGGTTTATTAACCCAATTAGTCCAGCCAGCATTAGTGTCAAACAAGGGACCCAAGGTCATTTTTTGATTAAGATTCACGACTATAAGAACTCTATTTTTTGTTATTGAACGTTGGATGCTGATGAAGAGGATGTTGACTTCCTCCATCTTCATTTATTTTGTTCATTTATCGATTATCGTACAAAATCACCGTCTCTTTTAAGAATTGTTGAAATTGTTGTCCTCTAGACGAAAGGTTATACCATTTCATTAACAAGGTAATTTTTAAGACTTCTCTCAAATAATCATTTCTATACAAAAGCTAAACTCCTGATGGGAAATTAATATACCTTTGAGCTTTATAATCTTAATTTACGTCAAGAAGCATGTCATAATATTTTTCTCTCTGGTTGAGTTTTTGTGCGCTACTTCCACTTCCTGCTCCTCCCCTTGCTACCTCGCCTACTCCATCTCCCGAGACGTGGGATTGGCCACAAACCCTAAAAAAAACTAAGAAACATATCCTAATGCTATGTAGAATCGAAATAGAAGAAATTAGGGTTACATGAAACATTACCTGAAATGTTGGACCTCTGATTCTACATCACTCATAAGAAATTTAGGGTTACATGCTTGATATCCAAATCAGATCAAAATCGATGAAAGTGCACCTCATATGAGCGATGTAGAATCGAACAAGGAGAAAATAGAGATGAAAGTCATGAAACCTTACTTGATATGAGCGATAGTATTATAACTGTGTGGGGAAGATAGATTTGAATCATGAATCATTACACTGAGAGCTTGAACCGTCGTCCAGAGAAGATAGATTTGTGAATCGTCTTCTTGGGCGTGGTAACGTATGATAAGGAAACGTGCAGTCAGTATTGGGAAGGAGAATGTTGGGTGAAGAGAACGTATGATAAGGAGCCGGTCTTGGGAAGAAGAAAATTGGGTGAAAGTGTTGAGAGGTTGTACTTTACGTTTCTCATCTATATCTATACTATTTTATACTACTCTTAAAAACAACCAATAAAGCTTCAAGTACAACCCTTCTAAGCATTAATTTTAAAATTATCTTAAATACAATATGAGTTTAAAATTAATGCTTAGAAGGGTTGTACTTGAAGCTTTATTGGTTGTTTTTAAGAGTAGTATAGAATATAAGGGTATTTTGGACATTTATAATTTTAAGACTTTAAGACTTTGAAGGAATCTGGTTAATAAGATAGTATAGATACTAATATTAATTAATCAACAAAGATAATAATAAGCAGTAGAAAAAGAAAGGAACAAAAAGGCTCTCTCTCCCTCCGTCGAGTCGCCGATCTCGCCTTAGATGCTGGAGGCGCAAATCGGAACTTGCAACCAATTTTCAGAGATTCCATCACTACTAATCCTCACCCTCACCCTCACCCTCACCCTCACCCTCACCCTCTTCCTCATCAAACAAGTAGACTTTAGGGTTTAGTTCCTTTTTGTTTGTATATATACCCTAGGGTTTCAATGTCCAAGAGGAAGTTTGGATTCGAGGGTTTCGGCATTAACAAACAATCTACCTACAGCTTCGAGCGACCTCAACCTACCCAGCGACTCTACGTTCCCCCCTCTTCTCGTGGCGGTGGTCATGATCACTACGAAGACACAGACCTGGACAACATCGACTATGAAGATCCCACCCACAATAACGAAGGAGGCGCCGCCGGAGCAGATGACGGTGAAATTGACCCACTTGATGCCTTTATGGAAGGGATTCATGAGGAGATGAGGGCCGCGCCGCCTCCAAACCCTAAAGAGAAAGCAGATAAGTACAGGGACGACGACGAGGATGATCCCATGGAGAGCTTTTTGAGAGCCAAGAAGGACGTGGGCTTGACCCTGGCATCTGAAGCTCTTCATGCTGGTTATAATTCAGACGAGGAGGTCTACGCTGCCGCCAAGGCGGTTGATGCTGGAATGCTAGAGTATGATTCGGATGATAATCCTGTAGTTCTTGATAAGAAGAAGATTGAGCCTATCGCTGCTCTGGATCATAGTTCGATTGATTACGAACCCTTCAACAAAGATTTCTATGAAGAAAAACCATCCATATCAGGTATATACGTAATCAGTTTCTTCTTTTTCTTTTTTCCTTCTGGTTAGTGTGTTTATCTAATATGTTATGCAATGGGTTGAGAAAGAGCAGTAATACATATTCGACAATATGTGAACATGTTAAATTCATGCTTTGTATGTATTGTTTAAGCATATGCACATGTCCTGCTTCTTATTTTCCTGGACTTCTAAGTATGGCAAGAGTAGTTAATAATAGAAGCATGGAATGCATATAACCACGTGATAACAAGGGCAGCACTGCTGAGTTGATGATGCATAACTGGATGGTAGTTTGTAGGAAACTCTAAGTCAACCTGATATTATTTTCAATAATTCAGACGACGTTGATACTATAGACTTGGGGAAGTAGAGAATTATATAACAGGCAAAGTACCCTAACTAATCAAAAAGCTGGGTACACGAAAATATTCCAAACAGGTTGCTGCAGGATAAATGATACCAAGAGCATATATAAAGCAGTGAAACCCAAGACAATAGGCTAAACTAACCCAACTCCCAATTATTCATAAGCAATCATTAAATACAGCCCAACTAATAGATAAGCTTCTTTTATGCCCTAGACTCGTGATCCACAGCATGTCTTTTAAGAAACCTAGATAAAAGATGAGCAGGTGCCTATGCACTATTTGGAAGATATTAAGACACAACCACCTGACTATATTCTTGTTCTCCTACTGGTATTTGTTAAGATGCATGCCATACAAGTTAACAACTTGTGAAACTGAAAGCCTTTTGCACGAAGGGAAGTGTATGTTTCAATTCCAAACCTATTTTGGTTATTTTGCTGCAAAGAAAACGTGGGAAAAGTTCTCTTGATATGAGAACCTTTATAGTAGTTTCATCCTGACCTATCAGGAAGTAGTGAAAAGATGTATCATTTCCGTTGCTTTATGCCATGCTTGATTGTCTCAACTTCATGGTATCCTTTTACCTTCTTGGGGGGTACATCGATTATGTTACAGTGCTACACTGGGTTCTTTTCAGTCAGATTTTCTTCTCAGGGTTGTTTTCCTCTTACTGTTCTTCATTGAGCTAATTATTATAGTGTTGCTTCTCTTTCATGTCAGGTATGAGTGAGCAGGACGTTGCAGAGTATCGAAAGAGCTTGGCTATCCGTGTTTCAGGCTTTGATGTCCCAAGGCCCATTAAGACATTTGCAGAAGCTGGCTTTTCTGTAGAGCTAATGAAAGCTATTGCAAAACAAGCTTATGAAAAGCCTACTCCAATACAGTGCCAGTCTTTGCCAATTGTGCTCTCTGGGAGAGATGTCATTGGCATTGCAAAAACTGGTTCAGGGAAGACTGCTGCCTTCATTCTTCCTATGATTGTACATATTATGGATCAACCTGAACTGGCTAAAGAAGAGGGACCCATTGGAGTAGTTTGTGCACCTACCAGAGAACTGGCACATCAAATATATTTGGAGGCCAAGAAATTTGCAAAAGCCAATGACATTCGTGTGTCTGCAGTTTATGGTGGAATGTCCAAACTTGAGCAGTTTAAAGAACTGAAGTCGGGCTGCGAGATAGTTGTTGCAACTCCTGGGAGATTGATAGACATGCTAAAGATGAAGGCACTCACGATGTCAAGAGCTACTTACTTGGTCCTTGATGAGGCTGATAGGATGTTTGACCTTGGATTTGAATCTCAGATAAGATCCATTGTAGGTCAGATCAGGCCAGATCGCCAAACACTGCTTTTTTCAGCAACAATGCCCCGCAAAATTGAGAAGCTTGCCCGGGAGATACTGACCGACCCAGTGAGAGTTACTGTTGGAGAGATTGGAATGGCTAACGAGGATATTACCCAAGAAGTTCAAGTACTTTCTGCAGATACAGAGAAATTGCTTTGGCTGCTTGAAAAGCTACCAGGACTGATTGATAATGGTGACGTACTGGTTTTTGCTTCAAAAAAGGCAACAGTGGATGAGATAGAAAACCAACTATCCCAGAAGGGGTTTAAAGTTGCCGCTCTTCATGGTGACAAAGATCAGGCATCTCGTATGGAGACATTGCAAAAATTTAAAGCTGGAATATACCATGTTCTTGTTGCAACCGATGTTGCTGCCCGTGGTCTTGATATCAAGTCAATCAAGTCAGTGGTTAACTTTGATATAGCTAGAGACATGGACATGCATGTCCATCGAATTGGGAGAACAGGCCGTGCTGGTGATAAAGATGGGACTGCTTACACTCTTATCACACATAAGGAGGCTCGTTTTGCTGGCGAGTTGGTTAACAGTTTGATTGCAGCTGGTCAAAATGTGTCAATGGAACTTATGGATCTTGCTATGAAGGTAATCTTTCTTTCTCTTTGTACTACATAAAATATTTTTTCTTGCTTTATCGTTGTAGCAAGGAAGCATGTGCCATACATCATTTTCATTCTATTGTTGAAAAATACAAAAGTATGAACGCTACTTGTCTTGATGATTTCTCTCACCTAATTTTTAGGATTTGCATCATTTCAAATTCTTGGAACATGAGGGCTCTATCTTACAGCTTACCAATCTAGTATCTTCCTGAGTTAGCAGAATTGAAGCTGTGGAAGAATGAATTTAAACTAATTAATTTTTGGGAGACATGTCCATGAAGGTACCCAAGAAAGTCTGTCCCTAGTCTCCAGCTGTGAGGCTGCCTTAATCAACCCTCCTCATTTACTGGTTTGACCTAATGTACTTTCGTTACCTAATATGCTTTTGTTACGAAACAAATTTGTGCATTAAGGTCTAACGATGTTAGCAGGGGAAGTAGTTGTATACACCAATCATTCTTGTTTTTAGTCCTAAATAGTTTTTGTTGCATTAAGGTCCAAAGATGTTAGCAAGGAAAGTTGTAGTTGGATTCAGCGTAGCATTCTTATCTAGTCTTTCTCCATTCCTTAGCCATCCTTTGATCGCCCCTATTTTGTTGAACCAGAAATCCAAGATGTTGTAAAAGAGAGGATTGCATTTTGTATTTCTCATAATATAGAGGAAATTTGTACATGGTGTTTGGGAGAAAATTTGTACATGGTCTTTCTCCATTACAAGCTGCCACTAATGGAGGAAATTTGTACATGGTGTTTGGGAGAAAAGGTAGCAACTACCTAGAACATAGGATCAAACATAATGAAGTGTTTGGAGTAGCAATTTCATACAAGACTCGTGAGGAAGTTCGTGTGGATGGTGAGAATCTTTTGAAAGATACAGTGAGGGCTTTTGCTACACTCTGGGTTCCTATTTTAACAACTATGGGTAAATCTTGGTCAGTGGCCTGAGTTTCAGGAAGTTGGTATTCAACAAGTGGAGGTGCCTCGTTTTCGGTAGTCGAATTTGATTTTTGAACTTGTGTTGGATCAAAGGCTGGATTATGTTTCCTTAAGTGTACAGTGTACTTGCTCAGATCTTATGTTATATGTTTAAGAGTCTTGTTATCCTGTACTTGAGACAAAGCTGGAGGTGTAGGCATGACATGAGACATGAACATAAAATCTAGGTGTTTTGGAGAATAAGCAAAACAACTATCTAAAGTCCAGCAATCTGCTCTCAGACTTCATGAAACAAGATATTTACAAGATCAAATTCTAGGTTACAAAATTTTGAACAAGATTCTTAGTGTTGATTGGCCTCAAGTGAAGGAGAAAATCCTGTATCTTCATTACACCAGCTGTAATTGCACATGCATTTTGTTTGTTGATTACTTCCACATGTTTTAATGGGTCTTCTCTTCTTAAGCGAATAATTATATTTATGTATTTTTCTTTAATTCTTTGCTACAATTCTGAGGTGCATTATGTATCATTACAAAAAATAATTAATGCATCTTATGGTATTTGAAGATCCTTGTAAAATTCTTAGAAATCATAGCGAGTGACTTTTTAACTTGTAAATTGTTAGGATGGGAAGTTTAGATCCAAGCGAGATGCTAGAAAAGGAGGTATGTCTTTTCTTTTCTTAACCTTTTGTTATGTTGCCCATGGATCTAGTACCATGTGATCAGACAAAAAAATTGGGTCCTAGAATATCTTGAATGATTCCCTATGTTGTAATCACATCCCATGAAATTATTTTTGAGGGATGCTTCAAATATTTGCACGGAATTTGATGTCTAAGCTTATTCTGGAAGTGAGCTTTTTCTATCGCGCCAACTCAATATCACCATTTTGATATTTGTGCAGGTGGGAAAAGGGCAAAAGGAAGGGGAGGTGGCAATCGAGGTGTGCGTGGTGTGGATTTTGGTTTGGGGATAGGATACAGTTCAGAATCCAAAAATACATCATCAAGCGCTCCTCCTGGTCGTACTTCAGCTGTTAATTCACTCAGGACTGGAGTGATGGCTCAGTTCAAAAGCAGTTTCGTTGCTGCTTCATCAAATTCTCAAAATCAGGGTTTAAATAACGATTCAGGCAATAAGAAAATGGTATTGCCTGGTTTTGTATCTGGTGGTTCCATAGGTGGAGATGTACGGACTCTTCCTAGTCAGGCCAGTGCATCAGGTTCGACCCCCACGCCAACTGGCAATACCTCTGGTCAGAAGAGAGAACATGGAAGCCAGGGGAGTTCTGAGAGGTGATTTTCCTGATTGAAACCTTGTTTTCCTTGAGCTGATGTTTTTGAATCGTAAGGCTTAGGGCTGACTTGTAGTATTTTATGCAGATCGAGAGAGCGTCCTAGAGAAAGGAGAAGGCCTTCAGGCTGGGACCGCTGAAGTGTGATAAAGCTTGTATGCTATGTGACTTGACACCTTATTTAGTTGACTCATGTTTTTATTAATGAACTTTTGGTTTCATGTATTTAAATTCATTGACAGTGGAGTTTGATATATTTCTGAAATTCTGAGTTACAGTTGTGAAAGATGCTTGAAAACAGTAGGATTTAGATGAATATAATAACCCTTGTGAATGGCCTAGATGGAGGATTTGGGTTTATTATATATATGAAGTTTATACATGGGATAAGTATTTGGATGAACAATTTGATTTAGAGATGAGAATGCAACTTATATGTTTTTCTTCATAATCAAATGATACCACCATGTTCAGGATGCAGAGTTGTTGTATCGGATGACATATGTAATACCATGTCGGTATTGGATTACATTGAACAATAATAGATGACATAAGAAAGTTGGTAATGAAATTTGTTTATGCCTTTGGGCACTTGATTTCATTTTTATGTGGACACACCTCCAGGCAAGGTTCCTTCAAAGTGGCGTCTTGTTGCGGGGGGAGAACTCCAAATTTGAACTGTGAATCGAAAGATTTGGATTCAATGATGTTTGTGACTTGGGAAAAAAAAAGGAATGTTTTACTTTTTACCTGACAGCTATAGTCATTGAAGTTTGGCTCCATAAGTAGAGGAACTCCCATGTAATCCATGAAGAACTCCTGAGTAGGAAGTTTACATGTATTGATACATATCCCCACACATTTACTCTCCTCTAGATACTTGCATCTTTCAACAAACACCTACATCACAAAAAAAGAATTTCAAGTTCAAGTGAGCCATATCCATACATATGAAATTTTTTAAGTTGAGAGAATTACCCACCCCAGTCGGCAATGAGGATCCATCGACAGAGTTAACCGTGCAACTACCCATGAGCCATTGACAAGATAGTGCAGTCACCCTTGCTTCACATTCACAACACAATACATGTTGAAATATATAACAATTAACAAAAGCAAAGCAAAGCAAAGCAAAGGAAAATGAAAAGAAAAACTCACCTACCATGAGAGCAGCCAATTTCCCTTGAGCAATAGGTGCAATCAGGATTTTGTAGAGCTCTAACAGTAAGGGAGGAAACAATGATCTTAATATGCGAACCTGGATAAGATGATTGGTTAGGTTAGGTTATTTGGAAGAAGAAGAAGAAGATGATATTATTATATAAGAATACTACCGCACCGCTGCTTCCTGTGTTTGAGAGTTGGTTCTGGCAAGCATAAGACGATTGGCTACGTCTATTAATCCATCGTAACCTGGCTTCTCCGAGTCCCATCCAACTTCCTGTTGATATACTCAAATCACTCCTATGCATAGTCTGTGGTACTGAATTTTGAACATTCTTCTTACCTGCACCATCTTATTTCGGAATAAATTTAGAAAAACAGGATCAAAGACGCCGGGGGTGTAGTTGCTCTTTTCTATCTGTAATACCACCGCCTTATAATTATTATTCATAAATAAATAAATGAAAAGAAGAAGAAGAAGCAAATTGATGAGAAAGATTCAGATACAGGTTTTGATGAATGAAGGACATGAATGGTCCTGGTCCTGGTCCTGTTCCTGTGGAAGGGTTGTGATTTATCATGAGAAATGGGAAACAAGTTGAGACTCTGATGAAGAAGAAGAGCGGCCATGGATATTTGATAGATTCTGCACAAATATATTTTTATACAAAGGGGATAAGTTTTATGAAATAAATAAATAAATAATCATGTTCTGAGATTTTAAGTTTTATAAAATAAATAAATAAATAATCATGTTCTGAGATTTGTGGTGGCAAGCACGCACATAATCATTACTGGTTTTTATCCAATTTAAAACAAATACTACTACTACTACTTAATAATAATAATAATAATAATAATAATAATAATAATAATAATAATAATAATAATAATAATAATAATACCTTATTATTAATAATAAACACGTATCAGATTTTGCGGACACCCTAAACCCTCCACGTACGTTGGTTATATTCTCTCTTTCTCCGTTTGAGTTCACTCCGGTGCGATCGATCATGGATTCCTCCTCTATGGATATGGCTATGCCTATGTCTATGTCTATATCTAATTCTATGTCTCTATCAACAACAGTCTGTCTTCTCTCTTTCTTCTTCTCCTCCTGCAAATTTCATCTATTATTGATGATCCTACTTTCCCCCTTTTTTCCTTGCATCATTCTTACTTCTTTCTACTTAATTGACTCAAAATATGAACTAATCGTCACTTTCTCTGATACTTATTGCTAAGTGGTTTAGGTTGATATTTAACATGCTACTTAAATCACACCTGATTTTCTACATCTCTGCTCCAGGACTTGAGTTGTGCTTTTACTTCCTTTATGTTAATCATGTAATTTGCAATCTTTTTGGTTTTCCCAAGGTCATAACATCGTGTTTCAATATATAATTGCTGTCTTACCCTATTACCAGCTTAAGCTTTTAGATTTTTTTGTTCCGAGCCATACTTGAATAACTTTCATTCCCATCTTAACTCAACAGCTCTCTATACATTCATTTTTGCATCTGTCATATTATCCCTAATCATTTTCTTATTTTGCTCGTACAAGGAAAATATATAATGTTAAAATCTTGAAATTCCAGTCTACAAACAAAATGCATCTCTAATCTTGGAATGGAGGGATTATAATTTTTGTATGCCCGATCCAGTGTTGTTAGCCCAGCCAGCTATATTGCTATAGGATCATTGGTTCAAGAGAACTGTATTTCAAACTTTTTTTTATCCTTGAGATTGCTTTGGCTTTTTTGTTTTCTTTGAGTTATTGCAAACAATAGATCCTTGTTTTATGTTTATCCTGTGATATTCTCTCTCTTTAAATTGATAGAATTTGCACGGAGAGCAAGTTTACGGTGATTTAGGAATCTTGGCATTCAAGATTAGTCAGATGAAGGAACAGATTCAAGCAGAAAGGGTTCTTTTGATTAAAGTGAGTTGGGACCTGTTATGATGTACTTTCTATTATGTAGTTGTGGTTTGTTTAATCATCTGCATACCTGGCCTGATGACCTCCACCACATTCTAGTAAAAAACTCCACAGATATTGGTTATGTTTCTTTAAAATTCAAGACGTAATTAATCGTTGATGAACTCATTTGCTGTAGTTGGTAACATAATACAATTTTCTTAGTTGCTTTGACTCGCCTGAAAGTTAAAGCATGCTGGTATAAACTTGATTCTGTTATCAGCTAATTATTAAGATATCAGCTACTTATGCATGTTTTCTGCTTTCCCATGCATCACATATAAAGATTCTTTACTGAACCTACTACGGGTGGAGTATATATGGATTTACGTCTGAGTAGCACAGGTTCTGGAGAGAATAGCAGTTCTGTTTATGTATGGTCAAATAACTTAATATATTGAATTTTGATTTACTAAAGAAGGACAATAGAAATGGAATGAATTGTTCATGGTAGGAGAAATTATATTAGTACTGATGGGATGTAAAAGTAGTTATCATTTACTGTTGCGCAGGAAAAAGTTGAGAAGAATAGAGAGAGGCTAGCAAGTGATGTTGCTCAGCTTCTGTCATTAGCTGTGCTTAGAACTGATGGTTCGGCTAAGGAAATCAGTGGCGAAGGTAAAATGCTTTCTTCTAGGATTAAAAATCCCCTGAGCATCCTTACTGGACCAAGTCAAGCATCAGGTGATGATAACAGCAGCACTCAAGAAGTAGCTATTTCCATAAGTGCCAAGCTTCCAGTTGTGGATAAAATACCACCTTATACTACTTGGATTTTTTTGGACAGGTTTTTCTTCATCTGTACTTTCTTTTTACTTGTTTTTTTTTCCGGGTAAATCCTTTGGATTGCATAAACAAAGAAGATATGCACAAGGCAAGTGGTATATCCCCTCCTTGGTATGCCTTTCAACAGGATCAAACTAAGGAGTTGAGCCGGTCCAATAAAATTCTCCATGAAAACAAAAATGGAGATATGTCGACAGGAAAATGGGACAATCCCCAAAAGCTCTGGCAGATATGAGCTCGCAAAAAGAAGGAAAAAATGCTCACAAAGCAAAAGCAGTTGCATTATTTGCCTCATAGAAGATTCGGTTTGACTGACTACTATATTTTCAAAATGGTTGCAGCCTACTCTTAACCATAGTCAAAGATGATTTTAACCAAAAACCCTACATATCATCAGCTCATAGTTATGGAGTCCCTGATTTTGTCGTCTCCATATACAACACACAACCAACTCAAATGAAGTTCAAAAAATGTTACGTTCCAGTAGCATTACCTCGAAAGTGAGAGAAATCTCAAAGTTGGTCGTACTCCAGAAGGCATTTTCACCCAAAGCACAAGTGTTAAATCTGAAATTAGACAAAATGGGATCACAAACAATTAACAAAGGGATGTCTTAACGCTTTTTCAAGTGAGAACCTAAGAGACATATGTAGCTGTATTCCCACCATATTCGACATTATTCAATCGTGAAACAAGGGACAGTTTTTTTTAATGTTCCACAAGTTAATGGATTAAACTAGAAGTTGTATTATACATGATTTCAAACAGGATGCATGATTATAGGTGATTGTTTCTTGACTTTCTGCTCACTTGTTGTTCTTGATGAAAGCTCCATTCTGCAATAGTTTCTCAGTTCTTTTATACGGATCACAGAAACCAAAGAATGGCTGATGACCAATCAGTTGTTGGGAGGCGGCGTATTTACTATGATCAAAATGGAAGTGAAGCTTTGATTTGTAGTGACAGTGAGGAGGAGATTACTGAACCAGAGGAAGAGAAACATGAATTTTCTGAGGCAGAAAATCGTATTATACGGTTAGTTCAGTAATATAGTACTCTTGGATGATGAAAATTGTGTTGAAGAGAACACTCTGTTTGTGCTAATAATGCCGATAATGTTCTCCGTGTACTCCCAATTATGATTGCAACATTACTTTCCATGCATGTAAGCCCCTAGCCGAGTTCCAGAAAGCACCTAGCTGTGGAGATCATTTTGACTCCTAGTATAATTGGTTGATTGCTGACTAAATTTCTATATATGCTTTAGAACTTGTATATATGCATAATCAGAGAAGTGGATAAATATTATATGATAGTTTCTTGAAATTCAGTTTTAGCAAGAGTTGGTACAGCACCCTGAAAATATGTTCTCTTGTAATGATAAATATATAGGAATCATTTTATTTCGATTTCTAAAATGCTTTTCAAAATGTGGATAGCTAATGAAACTATTATAATCTTCACACTTCTTAGCAGCTTCTCTTTTATGTCCGTAGCAGATTACATAATTATGGGCAGTGTTTGAAGTAGGATTTATTTGCCCCCTTATAACTTGGGATTGCATGACCCAATTTCCTACCGAGATGTAAAAGAAACTGGGTTATAACTGCATTTTGCTTATATTCGTATTTCTGTTGTTGGTCATGCCACATTGAGCACAGAATTTATATATTTGATATTGGTTTGAAAGCATATCAATAACTGTTGAATCTTGCAGGATGGTTTGTCAGGATTACGAGCCAAGTGAGGAAGTACTTGAAATCTTGGCACAATCTATCGGTGGAAATATTTCAGAAATCCATGTACCTAAGTTGCTTCTATATCTTCCTTAAAGACTCACATTTTCCGTGTCAAGTCTTACTTTCTTACTACTTCCCCATATACTAGTTGAAATATTCTGTTTTGTTGTTTGGCTGTGTTTCTTCCTTGATGCAGGAGGCCTATCACATGCTGAAGACAGAAGATGAAACGTTAAACCAAGATGTCTCTGTTTCTGCAGATCTTGGGCAAGATAGGAGCATATCTCTCGACAAAAGCCTTAGTGCTTCGTTAGATTCTCTTGATAATCTCTTCTGTCGACGGTGTTTGGTACTTTTGCTTGCTTGTTTTCTCATTCTGTTACTGTTCATTAGATTGGGTCAATGTTGTGATTGTTTGTTCTATTTACTTGACAGGTATTTGATTGTCGTCTTCATGGCTACTCTCAAACTGTTATTACTCCTGTAAGCATTTGTGCTCTCAGAACCGTTATGGTTTTATATTAAGTTTTCTGCATCCCATGTTAATGTGCTTCCATTTGCATTATAAACAGACTGAAAGACAATACCATCCTCTTGAGTCTCAAGAAAATGTGAAACCTTGCAGTGATCATTGTTACCTTCAGGTATGGCATCCCTATTTAATGTTACTTTTCCACACATCCCTTGTAACTAAATGGGAATCTCCTTGTACTGGATCCACTTGGACAATTCTTGTAACTTAATCTGGCATTGCATAGAGAATATGCAATTATATCTATGATCTATTAATTCGGGCTTATAGGATCAAGTTAGGCCAAGTTCAGTATCTCTGGTTACTTTGGCTGTAATATAGGATCAATGAAAGCTAAGCAGTTGTAATTCTAAAGATTCCCGGGGGGGAAGTAGAGATCACAGTTTGTATTCGACTTCCATATACATTTAATACATAGAAATTTCGCAGATGCATTCTTAATAGGAAGTCCAAAATAGCTGCTGAAGATGAGTTCAGTTAAGGATGTTAATGGGAATCCTGTGAGTTTGATCCGCATGAAGTTTGATCCTACGAATTCTATGTTTTGTTGTGACCACCTGTTACATGTTTCTTTTGGTTAAAGTTTTTGCCCTTCATGTAATGTAGCATTTTGAATCCTTTCTATAAGCCTAGACTTGATTCTTTTAACTGCCGGGATAAGTATTTCTTAATTATGATAGCTACAGACTACAGAGCTTAGTTGAACTTCTCGTCTTGACTTCCGAAAACCATGATGACAATGAGAAAAGCTACTTTTTACTGCTGCTACCCTTAAGTGGACAGATAGAGATATTGTAGCTGCATCAACGAGGACCATATTAATGCATATTGCAGTATATGAAATCAAGGATTTACTTGCATTGCCATTTACTGTTCTGCCAAGCTAGCAAGCCTTTTCAGGAATGAGCTTATTGACCTACAGACCTGCATTTATTACTCGAGCTGTTCGTACTCCTGTTTGGTTCTCATTTCGAGTTTTATAATTGCTTGGTTTGTTACATAGTATAGTATTGGCGTTTGTGATGACATGATCTGAAAGTGTCTATCTTGTTACATAAATAGATGGTTATTGATTCATTTATATTTCTCTATCTTCTCTAAATACTAGTTTATCATAATTTTTCAGTTTCAAACTGTGAAGAAGTATTCAGATCGTCCAGATGTCTTAAATGAGAAACACACGAGAACTTCAGATGAGTGCCCACACGAGATCCACAACAGTGCTGAACCAGGTATTACACAATATCAATATCATTCAGGAGGATAGATGCGAGTAGTTTCTCCTTTTTTTCTTTTTCTTTTTCTTTTATATTGGTCACTATCTGGTCTCCTTTGCTGGCTTTTTATGAGGGGAGGGGCCCTCCGGGGGGGGGGGGGGGAGGGTTTTTATTGAGTGTTTGTTCTCTATATATGGACTTCTATGTATTGGTATGATGGTGAAATCTATGATGGCAATACAGGAAAGCGCAAGGTATCCAAACAAACAACCACAATGCTAGAAGAACCAAAACATGTTACTGATGATCAACAAGAATCCTCCCTTAAAAAACAGAAAAGGTTGTCAATACCTGATACAGTTTCCATGACAATTGAAGATGCTCAAGTTTCCAATGATAAAGTCATGGTGGTGGATGTTACCACACCCAATCAAGACGAACTCCAAATGATACCCACCGATGAAGCAATTAGTTTTGGCGTTCCAAATAGTACTTCTCGCTGTGTTTCAGCAGATGTGATCGAGGACAGTAGTACAGGAGTACATTTGTTAAAGCAAGCATCAAATCAAAAACAAATTGGTGGTTCTCCAATAAACTCTGAATGGAAACCTCTTGAAAAAGAGCTTTACATGAAGGGGTTAGAGATATTTGGGAGAAACAGGTACAAGATCTCACATCTTTCAATTATTCTGGTTTCACTGATGTACATATTCTCATGGCCTATGGTTTAAGGCAAGGTTGTTTGAGCAGCTGATAAAAATCCTTGAAGTTCCGAACTTGTATCATTCCCCTTCCTGGTGGGGTGGGATGTGGTAACTCTGGAAATAGCTGTAACACCTTCAAACTCCAATGGTCTTACCAGCTGCTCAGAAACCCTAGCTCTGCTGGTTTGTTTTGTTGGGACAATAGAACTGAATTCCCCCTCCCTCTTCTGTGTAAAATGATGCATACATTGAACCCTTCTAGTTATTGATGGATGATAGCCCAGTCCTTTGGGTGGTTTTTGTTCCCTATAAGTTTCATTTGTGTTTACTTTTACATTACTATTCTGTGTAAACATTTTTGCTTGAAATCTTAAATTACTGAAATATACTATTGGCAGATAGATCTGTGTAGTTTACTGTCCCTCATCTGTTGTTAATACATTCTTTATTGTTTTGGCTTTCTGTAACCGCATGATTTGCAGCTGCCTTATAGCCAGGAACTTGCTTTCTAGCTTAAAAACTTGCATAGAAGTAGCCAACTATATGTATGATAGTGGAGCAGCAACGTCACAGAGATCTTTTACTGCATGTTCTATGTCAGACTGCAATGAGAGAGCTGATGCAGATCTGAAGGTTTGGTTTCTTCTTCCTGTTGGTTCTTCAGCACCTTGATTCCTTTCACATTGGAAGTGTATAGTTGTTGAGCAAGAAAAACATTTAAATAGATTTTTTTTTCAATGTCCTATCAGAGTAAACTGATTCAATAACCAATCACATTTACCAGCAATAGTTTTCAATTATGTTCTTCAAATGAACTTGAAATAGTGGAGAATTAATTTTTTTAAAGTAAATCAACTCTCATCCGTTGGTAGGATAGAAATTTTGGTACTTATACGACTTAGCATGAGAATCAGCAAATGAACATAATATGTATCAGGAGGGATATTATGTTGAAAGCAGCTGAACTTTCAGTGGTTTTACAGATGATAGTGGAGGTGTGTTAGCATATGGCTTTGTCCTACAACTTCCCGTGTCTGTAGAAATAATATTAATTTTCCTCCTTGTTATATGTCCTCTAGGAGCTAGAAGTGCCATCAAGGTCGCGATTACTTCGCAGAAAGGGTAGAGCAAAGAAACTAAAATATTCTTGGAAGTCTGCTGTGCATCCGTCACTTTGGAGACGAATTGCTGATGGGAAGAACCAGTCTTGCAAGCAATATATTCCATGTGGATGTAAATCTATGTGCGGGAAAGAATGTCCCTGTTTAGATAATGCTACTTGCTGCGAAAAATATTGTGGGTATGTACACTACAGCAGAAAAACATTTGGCTAGTATGATGGAGCATGTTTAAGAATGGAATGTACGGATCACATGTGTATTTCCATAAATCATGATGTACATTCATGGGTCAACCTCCATCCTGTTTCTTGCATTTTCAAAATACCGAGGAATGTGTGAACTTTCACTGATCTTTGTACCTAATATAATATTTCAGGTGCTCAAAGAGCTGCAAGAATAGGTTTAGGGGATGCCACTGTGCAAAAAGTCAATGCAGAAGCCGGCAATGCCCATGTTTTGCCGCTGGACGTGAATGCGACCCAGATGTTTGCCGGAATTGCTGGGTGAGGTAATAGACCTTCCGTATTTATTTACATGTAAATGAGGTGGTCCATGCTTTCATGGTTTCTTAATGAATAGGAGTTCTGGGGGCATAGTTTCTTGTTGCCAAGTTAGATGCATCACATGTTTGATAATGTAGTGGACCTAAACTTGCTCCTTGTGAACTGAAGTCAGGATTTGAGTCAGAGAAACAGTCTATTTGCAAAACAGCAAGGAAAAACTATACGCAGAAACTTCCCTCCCCTAAAGCTGCACACCGAGAAGCATTGGTGCCCTGGGGTCGTCTTTTTACCCGGTGACACAAATTTTTAGGTTATGTTATATTGGCCACTCATATAGTCATGTAAGAGCTCAGCATATTCTTCCTTTTATTTCTTTTTTACCCACTAGTTCAAGATGTATGGTGCATTTTTTCCATTCGACATTGATTTAGTTGGTAGTTATGAAGGGCACTGAAGGTTTCATTGTTGGACAACATAACCTCATCCTTGAAATTCTTACTTGGTTTAGTCTTAGATAGTTATAATGATCAGTTGGCTGGTGAGTCATTACTGGTGCAGTAATAGTTAAAGTGCTCAATAGCAAGCGATTTCTACAGCCATCAAGTTATATACGACGAAATCATACAAGTGAATCCTTGTCATCGTGAGAGAGTTAATTAACAAAACAGACAAGAATCACTTAATTAGGTTATGAATTTCTGTTCCTTGATGATTCTTCCATGTTTATGCATGGGAACATGGCACTGCTGCAAGAGAGAATTTGACATCTTTTTCTATTGACATTTACGATCCCAATCGGTAAGATACGTATAAAATCTTTCACAAGTATTTCTCCTTCCAAAGGGTGTATGGGTTGCTATACAAGGTAGTTTGACCTCAAGCCTTACAGAATGTGATATTTTGAAACTATTCTTTCCTTCCCCCATATGTAGAGTGTGGTTTCTCATTAAATGAGGTAGCTGAACTGTTTTGAAGTTCTGTTTTTGAGCTCAGTATCCATTTATTTGTCATCAGTTGTGTAATAAGAAAATGATTTTCCATAAATATAGGAATACATTGTTTCCTGTTTCAGGTGTCTGGGTATTGATGAAGGTCTGAAAAGATCATTGATACTATAGATGTGTTATTTTTTCTTCAATTTGACCTGTTAATTGCTCCCCTTTTTTCAGTTGTCTTTGAGCTGAATTTCCTCCATACCGAACTTTTTGACTTCTTGCAGTTGTGGTGATGGTTCATTAGGAGAGCCCCCAAGAAGAGGAGAAGGCCACTGCGGTAACATGAGGCTCCTTCTAAGGCAGCAGCAAAGGGTGAGCAATCAAGAGTTTTGGTCATCAAGTTTCTTCAATCCTTTGCTTTTTGTAGTCTCTCTCTCTGTCTCTCTGTATATACACATTCATATTCATATATAACACTGATATATATATATATATATATGAGAGAAACCCGTTACAGTTCTAAACTTATTGTCTTCAGATTCTCTTGGCTAAATCTAATGTTGCTGGTTGGGGAGCATTTCTGAAGGTAGGAATCAAGTCAACCTTCAGTGATTGTTTTCAATTGGTCTCTTGGAACCTCACAAAATCTTTTTTTTTCCCTCCCTAGAACTCTGTCAATAAAAATGACTATCTTGGAGAGTACACCGGTGAATTGATATCGCACCGAGAAGCAGATAAGCGAGGCAAAATATACGATCGTGCCAACTCATCTTTCCTTTTTGATTTGAATGATCAGGCAAGTAGTTTTATAGTTGATTGTATATCTATGTTGCTTGAGTATACGATACTTTTTTCTGCAATCCTTTTTTAATTCATTTTTAAGTTTTGGAACTAATTTGACATGCAGTAGGAGTTTTAATATTTATCTAGATACATATGTTATACATTTAGGAATCATCTAAATTATAAAACTGTAGGAAAGCCAGAACTTCTTTTAGTCCGTAAGAGCCCTACTTCCCTCGGAAAAACCCATCATTAACATTCAAAAGCAACCAAATTCTTAGTATAGATGTCTGATAACCTTAATCATCCATGTCGTGATATCCTTAAGTAATCCCATATCAAAGCAAATCCCTCTGGATGCAATGAAACCGCTTCTGCTTTCTTTGCTTCCTTGTAATACTTCATTCCCTCTTGTCCTCATCTTGCAAACTTCTAATAGGAGTCAAAAGTGAGAATATTTTGTTTCTGATTATGGATTTTCTATAATTTTTCATAACTAAATCATCCAAGAACAATTCACCATTGGCATTTTGCATATATGTTCCTCATCCAAGATATTCTCATGGATTGCTATTGGCAGTTTTGTTGTCATTTAGTATCTCAGAGCAACTTCCTTGTTTGCAGTATGTGCTTGATGCTTACCGTAAAGGAGATAAATTGAAGTTTGCCAACCATTCATCAAATCCCAACTGTTATGCCAAGGTATTATATTTTTGCCCGTATCCAAGTTAAAGCGATGTCCCTGTCTAAACAGGTTGGTGTGTCCAGGTAATGATGGTGGCAGGCGATCACCGGGTTGGGATCTTTGCCAAGGAGCATATTGAGGCTGGTGAAGAGCTGTTTTACGATTATCGTTATGGGCCTGATGAAGCACCTATATGGGCTCGGAAACCTGATGGTTCTAAAGGAGACGATCTTCTAGTCCCTCAAGGTAGAGCAAAAAAGCAGTAAACGATGGATAAAGCATCCACTTCTGTGATTCCATCTTGGTTGGAGATGGCTCATGAAGTAAGAACCGGCTATATATATATATATATATGTGTGTGTGTGTGTATGTGTGTTATTTCCCTATATATGTATATATGCATGATGGTATTAAAGAGCGACTATAAAATAAGGTGATAAATAGAAGATAAACATAAAATAATAATAATAGTAATAGTAATAATAATGATGATGTGGAGCATCCTGATTAGCATAGTTATCGGAAATAAGAGAATGTATTTATTACTGTTTTATTTAAGCCTACAAAAGTATTGGGAAATGGAAATTAACCAAATCTCTCTTTTCATGATACATCGTCCATACAAGTACAACATCATACATCAATATTTTTATTTAAAAATTAAATTACAAGTTGATCTAAGAAAAAACAGCTTCCACGAAAACGTGTTTCTTCTTGGGGTACCCCATCCCAAGTGCATGATTGATATACACCTTCCCATCCTTCACCATGGCTGCAGTGGCCATGCGATGCTTAAGCACTGGCGACCTTCCAATCACGGAAGCCGTTGTCCAATCATCGTTGCTCTCAACTAACTTTACACCGTTGGCTCCAGCCACAACAAGTTTGGTGGGCGATAAAAGTTCCAACCCGTCTGCAACTGTCAACCTAGTGTCAACCTTGACCAATGCAACTCTGTTACCGTTGTTGATTTCAACCTTAAAGAGAATTCCGGCAATGGTGTGACCCACGATCAAGTAGCCATTCGGATGGTAGACGATGCCATTGAGGGTGAAGAAGTTGTGGTACCATTCTTTAGCATGAAAAAGCGGGCTCTTGATGACCGATAAGATTTGTCCATCCACCCCAACCTTCCATATTTGAGTTCCTTTGGCATCTGTTATGTATGCATTCCCTTGCGCATCGACGGTAACGTCGTCTGCCATGCTTTTTCCATCTTCTGCTAATTAATCAGGATAAAGGGGTTTGATGAAAGTTGGTTTGAAGACATGCTTCTAAACAAATAAAACCTCTCAGTATTAAGTAGCAAAAGAAAATTGGTAAATTGGCAAACTTGTGGCTTTGTACTCGTCTTTAAAGTTAACGCCTATTTTTTCATTTTCCTTTTTCCTTTTGTGGTAGTTGGAAATTTATTTTCCAATTGATGGCAAAATTTGAAGGAGGAAATGAAAAACAAAATGAGAATGAGATTGAACCTGAGGAAGGGAGGTGCGTGAAAAACAAGCGTTTCCACGAATCCATATCATAGGCCGCCACAGCACTGTAAGTGTTTCCAAAAACATCGGCTATGGCCACCACCACCCGGTTCCTGGGACGATCAATGAAAACACCACAGGTCCCGTTCCCAACGGCGTCCGTATTTTTCACCACAGGGATCTCCTCCAGGACGAGGTCGGGGTTGTGATCTTCAGGAACGCGGACGACACCGAGACCTCCGCCGTCCGTAAAGGAGACGATGAAGCGGCTGTTGACTTGGTCCCATTTGCTGGATTCTCTAAACCAACCGGTGCTGTGGAACTGGTAGTAATGGGCGGTTGGAGCGGCTGATTCTAGGGTTATGATGATGGCTAGAGGGATGGCTGACAGCAGCACAAGAGACAACAAAAATTTGGTGGAGCACAAGGCCATCGTCGTTGATGGAACCACACTACTGTGGTGCAGTGCAGTGAGGATATATAAGAGGGAAGGGATTCGGTAGGTAATTAATCTAATTTTACACACCCTTCATATTTATTTATCTTCCAAAAATGTATCCAAATTTAATATGTATTCATGCCTTTTTCATGATTTAAATAAGGAAATGTATTTATAATTTTTTTTAATTAGAATCTGAATTAAAATGATTTAAGAAGAAAAAAAAACATAGATGAATAATTTTTATTTTTGAAATAAAATCAGTCAATTTTGGTTACAAAAACATAGCTTTATAATTAATTACCTTTTGCATATCTAAATTACAAAACGTACTTTATAAGCTGCCCCTTATCGTATATGGATTTAATAAAAATATAATTAATATTTAACACAATTCTTTTACTTTAATAAATAAATCTTCAATAGTTTACTGAATATATGAATTCATGTTTATATTACCTACCTATAACAAGTAAATGATTTTTAATTTTATCATCTTGTTTTTTTTCCTTCTTCTTCCTGATATGATAATAGATATGTAGTCTGTTGGTTTTGTTGATCCAACTTTACCAACTCTTTTGTGTGTGTGTGTGTGTTTTTTATAGACAAGATCAAGTCTATTGGTTGATCCAACATTGACATTTCTTCTATTTACTTGTTTGTGGAGAGAGAGAAAGAGAGAGAGATGTCAGTTTCTATCAAGAATATTTTAAGTTAAACTGAAAATATCACACACATAAACAAAAGTATCAATTGTTTGTAACCAAAAGTTGTTTGGGTGGGTGGATAGGAGTTCGAAAGCATATATAAATGCCAACTGAATTGCATACAATTAATTGCTTCATCTTCTTTTATTACATGCAATGCAACTTCTTATCTAAAGCTTTGTTTTTGCACAAATACAACAATTCTATTTCTTTCTTTCTTCACCTCCAACCTTCACCAAGCATATCTGAAATATATATATATATATGTTAATTAAATAAATAAACATAATTAATATCAGCAAAGCAATGACATAAATTATATTACTTACCAAAGTGAAGATCTTGTAGTAAAGTGAAGACTATCATCATCATCAAGTCCAATGTCAGGATCAGCCTCAGCAGCAACACCACCAGAGGCTATAACTTTGTCTTCACTTGAACCACCCTCTTCTGAACAAGAGTTGGAAACGCAAAACTTGTCTAGCCACCTATCTGTTTCCCAAAGGACATGCATTATGCTCTCCCGTGATGCGTAACCATGGCTCTCAAATGGTAGAACCACTAGGCGACACAGTGCCCCATGCCCTTTCAAAGCATTGAAGAAACGATCCGACTGCATCGTTAACGTTCCTGAATTATTGTCCTCTTCTCCATGGATAAGCAAGATGGGCTTCTTTATCTTATTGGCCGACATGAATGGACTCATCTTGATGTAAGTATCCGTAGCATCCCACAGCGTTCTATCCTCATTCTTACCAATTTACAACCATTAATTAAGCTCAGCAACTACTATAAACAACAATTCAAAACAAATATCTACTTACCTGAAACCCAAAAGGTGTTAGCGTTCTATTATAAGCTCCTGACCGAGCAATTCCACAACAGAAAAGATGAGGGGCATGTGCCAAGAGATTTGCTGTCATGAACGCCCCATATGAATGTCCCCCAATAGCAATTTTGTCTGGATGAGCCACCTTCAACAAATAGCAAATCAGTCGTATCAAAGATGCCAAGTCTCATCGATCAGAAGAAAAGAAAAAAGAAAAAAAAAAAAAAAAAAAAAAAGTCTACCCCACGGCGGATGACTTCCTCCACTGCAGCCTCTGCACTCCCAACAAGTTGCTCAACATAGCTGCTCACCAATAAATTGTCACTCAACTGATTCAATCTCTCTAATTATTAAGTATGGTATACAATATAGGAGAGATCTGATTATATATGGTAGTGGATACAGGTGTTGGTGAAGTATGCATTTACAAGAGATATACAACAACAGTCATCAAAATTACCTATCATTTGCTTCTTCCTTGCCCTCACCAATTATGGGAATTGTTGGCCCGGATAATATAGCATATCTGCAATGCAAAACTTGTTCACACACTGATGGAATGGAAATCCATATATCTCTTGTCCAGAAGGATATTAGAGAAATTATTCTTAATACTTAATTAATAATCTACAAGTAAGTCGTGCCTCCTTGCCAGCCAAAGCAGTGGTGATGTTGGACCTATGCCTGCAAACTCGTTAGGAGAACCACGTACTTGTCCTGCTGCTTCTTTATTTTTAAACTCTCCAGGATACGACCAAAGCAGACAAGGTAGAGGGCCATCTCGTGAGGGATCATAGCCAGGTGGAAGGTATAAAGTTGCAGTGAGTTGAACTCCATCTTTTCTCTGGTAGCGCACCATTTCCTTCTGTAATGATGCCAACTGAGGGTATGGATGTGGGAAGCTTGTGATTTGGCATGCTTTCCTATCTGGCCATCGCTGTATGTAATATTGGGTGTTTTCAGTCTTAGACTCTTTGGAAGTCAGGACTTTTAGCTGATTCACGTACAAGTCTCCTGCATTTTGGTCAGACATTAGAGCAACAACACTCTCATAATATTTTTCCTTGTCGCTCTGCCATATTCTTTCCTTCTCTCCTGAACCTCTGAAATAAGTTGTGTCAGATGATTTTACTTCTGGAATGGAAGGCAAGGAGACAAAAAATAATATGTAATCAAACACTTACATGTTAAACAGATCTAGAAAAGGTATGTTTCCTTCTGGCGTGGCACCACTTCCATTTAGCAAAAGGTATGTGCCTTCATTATCTTCCTTCTTAAACTTTGCAATAACGTATGTCCCAGCAGGAGTTCTCCGCAACATAGGAGAACCAGGGTCAGAGTATACATCTTCAGATGATCTATCAAATAACAAACGTGGAGTCTCATTGAATCCAGGGGAGACCAACCAGGTTCTTACACGTCGTGTTTTGTACCAAGATTCATATATTAGTGCAAGTGAATCATTACACCAGCTAATTCCTCTGCAAAGAATGAAAAGGTGGCATATACCACATCAGGGGTATGGATGGAACATATAAGCAAAGCTAGACCACACACATGTTCCCTAATTGCATGCTCAATTACAAGTTTAGCAACGGTCTGGGAAGAAGGTCTTTGCATACAACATTTACCTTCCATTTTGCAAAGATGGTGTTTTCATTACTCCAACTATGACATCTGAGTCATAAAATAGTAAACTTACCCCTAAGTTTCACATGCCAGAATGACTGTACACGAGTCTAGATAGACTTGAGCAGATAATTATGTTAAGGGTAAAATACACCAAAAACAAGCTTCAAACTGAGACAGGGTTACTAGCAAAACCAAGCAAGAAATATAAGACCACATCATGGTGAAAAGGAAGTTAGTGAAATGTATGAGGCACTACTACTAAAGGAGAAAATGAAGTTAACAATCATCAATAAACAGCAAGGAGGAAAATGCCCAGGAAAAAGAAAATATTTGCAAGCAAATGCCATTATTTTTAGATGTCAAGAAAAGGCTATATAATAGCCTGAATAATACTCAGAGTTGAATAGCTATCGCATAGAGTTCAAATGAGGATGATCCATAGCTATAATCTCTTGTCAATACACATGAAGATAAGATGCTGTCTGTGCTCTGGTTTCCACAAAATATGATATAACAACTGGGAAATTCTCGTATCTTTTCTCAGTTAAAACTGACAACTCCTAAAAGTTGGCTGCTGGATTCAATGCAAAATAACTATGAATGAGGGACTAAGGAAACAGCAAAGAAAATTTTATTTTCTAATAAAAGTTGTAATTGATAACAAAAAGGGATTTTGTGGATCAAAGTAAAAAAAAAATGTGCACCCATACTTCAGAGACGCAAGACTTGTGCACACTGCTTGGGCACAAGTGACCTTGAGAAGGATATCCATTCAAGGGATGAGAGGGAACTAGATAGCTTTGCCATGACAGTGACTATCTTTCCGGATTAGCATCTACGAGAACTTGAGAGTATGGATGCAACAATACACAACCAAATCACACAAATGAGTATGCCTGAGACCTTTTCTGCCAAGGCATTTCCTGATGAGAACTATGACGTGCATACTAGAGAAATGTTTGTGAATTGTTTTGAAACGTGTATCTGACACAAATGCACCAAGTTCATATTCAGTTAGATTGACTAAAGATGGTATGTTGAAAGAAAAGCAGGATTGAAGTCCACATTTGAACAAGAAGTGGTGTCCTATGAAAGCTTCCATCATAAATACATTGTAACTAGAACTACATCCAAACTATTTGTTTCCTTCTTAATCATAAAAACAAATTGCAGAAAACACAACGAAGTATTACACTAATTGAAGCCAGGTTATTAATGAACTAGAAACTAAGGCATTGTTCTAGGCCAATGCCTGGAGTAACTATTGAACACAAAATGACATTTTAAGATAAATACATACTCTATTGGGTACAGTCAGAAGTAAGAAGAAAAGGTTGCTGGTAACTCGTTGTAATAGACTTTGCATTCAGAAAGCTCATATCATTCATTTAAAAGGCATGCAAGTGAAGCCTTTCCAAGCTGCAAAACATGCAACATTAACGTATTTGCAGTATCATTTCTCTCTGTGTGTGTTTGGGAAGTGGGTTGATTACATACCCATAGCGAAGATCAAGCTCATAAAAGATCTTTGGTTCTTCACCTTGAGTGGCATCAGCATCTTGTGTGTAGACTATGTCACGAGGAGATACTTCTACTTTGGCATCTCCTCCATCTTGTGTCTCCACCCTTTAAGCAAATAATTACTTATAAGAATAACATCCATTCAGTGCACCAATTAAGCAGGATATAACACACTTGATACATTTCACACCTACCAATCTCACTGGAGGACAAGCAATATAGTAATGCTTGTATCATAGAGAATTCCTTAAATACAATCTCATTTACAATAGCAAATTTCCTGTCATTGATAGCATACACTGATCAAGGTATTCAAATATGCATACCAGTAGAGAGTCGAAGGCTTATCCGCCCTCCAGTTCAAGGAGCGCATGCCTTTTCGGACACTGTTAAATGCAATTGGAATGTCCTCAGCAACAGGCAGATCACAGAGTGTCTTCATAAGATTTCCATCAGCCGACCACAAATCTACCTTTTTAGGAAATCTTCCACATGGGACAGTAAAAGAGAATGGTCTATGAACTGAACTAAGTAAAATATATTTCTCATCAGGAGAGGGATCCAGTGATGTATAAAGAGCTGGCTCGCCAAATAATTTCACTGTCCCGTCTAAAGAAACCAAAACAAGTTGTGAGGTGGCATAATACTCGAATAAATCTTCATCATATTCATCTTTGAGCAAATCTTGGAAGGTTCGAACTTGAACAACACTTTTTTGCTCATTGGATTGGATTTTAGGACCAGATGGGACTAAGGGTTTCTTTGGTGGGCTTCCTCGAGATGCTGGGATGGTACAAACCAAGAGAGTCGAATTATTCACCCAAACATAGCTGGCAATTAAAAGAAATAAGGTGTTACCAAACAAGCTGAGAATGATTCTAAATTGTTCAATTTGAAACCAGAAAATGGTCCGTACTTGTCGAAAATTGCATTCAGGAACACATTCGGTGACTGAAACAAGGGCTTAGCTTTTCCTGTTTCCACATCTGCAACCCATACTCTGAGCTTATTGCCACCATCATCCTCCTGTTCCAGTCAATTTATCAGATGGTTAGGGTGATCGAAAGAAAAGTTCGACTAGCAACACAATAAGCTGTAATCAAAGCTATTTTAATGCAACTTTGTTTTACTATCAAATACTAAAGCAGACAATTCCCGTTAGTGAAGAAAATAATTCCATACCAAAAACAGGGAAAGCCACTCTAGAAATCCATGAATGTTTGGCAAGACATGTTTACCAAAAAATAACATAGTACGTGAAGAGTAACAACACACTGGTTACCGAACCATTACGAAGAAAAAAAGGTGGTCCACATCAACCAAGGGTCCTGAGCTTCATGAAGGTAGGAGAGGGGAGTTTTGTATGCAGCATTCCTTTTCCACCTCACAAAGAGGTTGTCTCCATGACTCCAAACCCACGACCTTCAGGTCACAGTTGAGTAACCTTACAGTTGCCTCAAAGCTCACACCAACATATTTTGGTATTATAAGTGTAAATGATTGGATGATAACTCATAATAATCGAACAGTATGTTCTAGCTGCTTGTCTGCAGTGTGAATGCCAAAAGAGGTACAATGGGGTTTCGACATTAGTCATAGGTTGGTCATACCTGCTCTTGCCGGATGCTGAAGGCTAAATGCCGCCCATCGGTTGACCTTGTTAAGAATAAAGAAATGAAATTAATCAGAAAAGGGGGGAAAGGCACAGGACCGCAGCTTAGTATAATATTCAGTTTCTAAATTTCTCTTAGCATTCCAAGGTACAAACTATACCAGCCTATAAATGTGCAGGAACAATAACACCAAGGAATTTTTTTCTCAAGATTCACTGAGAACTTGGTTCTTGTTGTGTAACATAAATATTAAATCAACTATCATCCCTTAAATCATGGATCCCAATAACAAAGAAATAAAGAGATAAAGATAATGGAGGTTACCATGTAACAAAATTGAGTTTAGATCCATCTGGAAAGCCATGTACCAATTTCTCTGGGCCTAATGTACCATCATCCCTTAAATCATGGATCCCAATACCAGTGTAGAATGACCTATAAACAGATAACATATTTTCTTCATTCTATTATCTCAATCAACAACGTTAAAGTATCAAAATTTGGCATTGTATTACAGACGCCAAAGCAAGCATCCTCATCACTTACATCCTACTACGGGTATTAGATTTCCCATCGATACGGATGCCTGCAAGCTTGTCCTCTGGTTTTGCCAACTCTGACAAGGGAGGTAAAGATCTTCGCTTTAGGAACAAAATTTTATCTCTCTGTGGAGAAAAGGATAAAGCTGGAAGTGGTGGTGCATCAACAATATCTCTAATCTCTGGTGGAGGAAGACGATATCCACTGTTTAATTCTGATTGCACCACATTCAAAAGGAGAAAGAGAATGTTAGTCCATTACAAGCTGAAGATAGTACTGTCAATATAATTCAAGCTCCACATATATATACCAACATATGCCAACTGCTTGGCATCCTCGATGCCAATGTGTATGTTAAAGATAAGTGATTTGTGAACTCAACAATCAATTGCCAACTTAAAGCTCAAATTTTTTGCCACAAAGATGTATATAATTTGGTCTAGAAATGACTATCAATGACCAAGGTATGAAACTTTGAGACCAAATCGACAAGAAGTCTAACAAGCTGTTTTTTCACTTTAAATGCAAACTTGATATGGATTTCATTCAAATTTCAAATCTAACGTCAATATCTCCCTAGATAAGTTAAAAAGTAACTAGCTTAGCACCAAAGTCAAAGTGCAGCATGCAACAGTTTGGTAAATCTTTCAAGCAGAGCGTCCTAAGACGTTTATTCCAGGCTCGTGGCTAGAAATATAACTTTACTCACTACTCAAATAAGTAACCGATTCTAATTTGGATTTCATATACTTGGGGTGGGGCCTTACACAACACAACCCAAGGATCAAAGATTAAATTGGTATCGGAGAAAGCAAAGTTATATCAAGTACCATCATCGTCTTCAGGTGTAGGTGTGGCGTTGGAAAAGGGGGAACTAGAAGCAGCCACGTTTTCGGTGGCGATTGCGCCGATAGGGGCAAGATTGTGTAATCTTGAGACAGACATGGGTTGAAGAAACGGCTGATGTGGAGGATTAAGGGTGGAAGGCGTTGTAGATGGTGAAATTCGACAGCTTTTGGAAAAAAGAAAAGAGGGAGAAGAAGAGGAGAAGAGGGTTGAAGATGGATGAAGAAGAAAAGGGGGCGAAGTGTGAGAAAGGAGGTGATGATAGACCTTGTGTAAGCGCATGATGATGGGAATCTTCTTGTTGGTTGGTTGGTTGTTGTCTTTGATATGTGCCCAATGCGAAAATGGAATGGAATGGAATAGAATAAGAATACTCCTTCATAAACAGCAAAGGGTGCTTTGTTATTGGATCAGAACCTATCCCACCCGAAACACTCACATTTATTTGTTGTAATTCACACACCCATATAAACGATGGTGGGTGTTTCCTTGAACGGTTTGAACTCCTTATTCGAATAATCATATATTTATGTTTTATTTGTAGAATAGATGTCGGAGAATTAATTTAAATTTTTTATTAAGTTTTATATAGATAATAGTTAAATTATGTTGTTGTTTTACTTTTTTTATATGAATCAACAATGTGAATGACATAAATAACCAATTTATCCTCGAGAATGAATTATGCATTGTTTGATATATTTTTTTTAAAGTCAAATGATATTTCTGAAATAGAAAAATTATTTGGACAACAAAACATAAATTCATTGATATCATCCAAAAATCAAAACATAAATTTATAAGATATTTAAAAATCCAAGTTCAAACACAAATACTTTAAACTTAAACATTATTAACCAAACTATTTGAATTTCATAACGTAAAGTAGCTATATATTGAGTGTTATTAGCACCCCATCAGGAAATATCCAATTCTTCTCCAATTCATGCTATTAAACAATGTAAAAACATGTTATTGAACCAAGAAAAAACAACAATCGTAAAGGAAATGTGCAAAAACACTGTAGAAGCAATACAAAAATCGATTTGGAGAACCAAGTGTGCAAAAATCGTACAAAATACTATAGAAATCGTGCAGAAATATTGAATTGATTGTGCAATATCAACTTGGAGTAGTAGTGTGCAAAAATTATGAAGAAACGGTGAGTGTGTTTGGAGGAGAAACCGTGAGTGTACGCATAATCGATTTGGAGAATCAAGAGTTGTAGAAATCGTCACGTTTGGAGGAGATAGCTTGAATGGGATTTGGAGGAGATAGCAACTTCACGTCATTGTGTTTGAAGGAGAAAAAAAAATTAGCGGCTAGGTTAAAGTATTGATATTTGGCATGTTTTATTACACCAAGGGGTAGTATTGTATTTTTCTTGACTGAATGTGGACAACACCTCTTTCCCAAATGTGCGAATAAGCCGCAAGTAAACATCACATTTGGTTGAGCGAATAAGCTCTTTCCCCCATTGATCCCATTAAGTCCTAAGTAAACATCCCCTTATAATCATACTAGGACGGTTGACGATTGAGACGAATCAGTAGATCCAACTACACGTACGTCTGATAAAAAATATAGATAGTGTCTATACATGGTGTTTATAGATTTGGAGGAGCTTGGAGGAAAGAGGGGTACTATGGGTGTATGTCGAGTAATGTAGGATATGTATGTATACTCGAGAACATATATTAAGGTGACGTTTGTTTTTTAAGAAGTGTTGAAGGCTAAAGTCTGATTTCATTTCTGATCTGTAAAAGGTAGTGCTAAAGTCTGATTTCATTTCTGATTTGTAAGAGGTAGTGCTAAAGTCTAAAATCTAAAACAGTTAGACTATTTATTTTTATAAACTGATAAATGTCTGAAATCTGAATCTAATAGTTTGCTTTTGTAACCAACAAACATTTGAATGTGTATAATTTATGGTAATTCCAATTCCTTTCGTTTAAATTCTATGCTTTATGATCATAATTGTATATTGGGTTTATGGATTTCATTTTATTCATCATTTGAATAATTTTTTAACTTGTAAATGCTCATGTTCATTTTTCTAATATTCCTTTAATTCTTTTTTCTCCTCCGGATCAAGCCTTCCACCCTTATCCCACCACCATCAACCACATTCCACCACCACTCCTTCTCTAAAATCCAACCCAACTGTTTCCACATCCTCTCTCTTACTCTCACCGAGAACCTCCTCTTCAGCGGCTCATCCAACGCCCAAATCCACCTCTATCCCCACCACCCCACCACCGCCACCGATCAATTCACCACCATTCCCTGCACCTCTGTCGTCATATCTCTCCAAATCTTGAATGAAAATACCCTAATCACAATCCACCAAGACCACATGAACCCTAATACCCGACCCGAAAGAAATGCCAACGTTTCCACTGAGAGTGTTATGAAGGAGGTGAAAGCTTCGATGGTAGTTGAAATTGTCAAGGCTAAATCGAAGCAAATCTTCACCATGACGAAAACTACATGGACGAAAATACCTTGATTCACGAGGATGAAGGTGCACAACGACTGGTTTGCACAGGAACGAAAACACACAGTGACGAAAACTCACAGGGAAGAGAACCCTCTTGTTTTGGATCTGATTTGGGTCGACTTGAAACCACCAGAGGCGATGGAGGCGTTGGGTTCAACTTGAGAGAACTGGTGGGGGACGTTGAGTTCAACTTGTGAGAAATGGTGGGCTTGAGAGAACTGGTGCGGGATGGGGATGGAGGTAGAGGCGTGTTATACGATTAAGAGGGTTATAAGAGGTTAAGTTACCTCTATTTTGTTCACAGTAAATTAAGAGCTTATCAGCTTTTATTTAAAAAAACGGTCTGAAAACAGAAACGTCTGAAAACAAAAACGTCTGACCTATTCAGACTTAAGAAGTATTAAGTGGTTTTAAAAAAAACAAGCCCTAAAAGTATTCCTAATCGAAATTAACAAGATTGATAGCTTTTTTCTATGAAATCAATGAATATATGATATTATTTTATAACTTTCAAGTAGTTTTTATCATTTAGAAATATCATGTGATGTAAGAATAAATGATAATTTACTTAATTCATATTATTCAAACACTTGATTAGGAGAAAAAACAATAATACACTTTTATTCATGTAGACGAATTTATTTGTAAAATTGGCTTTACTCATACAGATTTCAGTGAGAAAAAAACAAGTAAACAACCCCTATATGAATCCTTGATATCTAAATAAATTCAAATGATTTGTTGAAAAGGTAACCAATTAGACGATTATCTTGTAACACTTGATTGTATCATGAGTTTTTGTGTTATTTAATTTTATAACGTCTTGATAATGTGTGTTGCTATTTAAACTCTTTTGTTTTCTTTTAAATTTCCTCTTAATCACCTCTTAAGTTTGAATCGTTTAGACATTTCCATTTTCAGGCCATTTTTTTTTCAACATAAGAGCTTAAGTGATGTTTCCTTCTTCTGAATTTTTAAGTGATAAACCTATCACTTAATACCTCTTAAATCAACTCTTTCTCGCCGGTGGCCCATTTTACAATGATCCACGATTCTCCTTACGACCAACACAATACATAATCAAAATTTGAAGGCGACGAAGAAGATCACCATATCCTGCTAATATCCCAATCTCCTCTTCTACAAATCTCATGATGAAATTGTAATCGACGAATTAGATTCCGATTCTATAATACAACTGATTTCAACTCCACCTACCATAAAGAAAACTCTGAATCTTTTGTTATTTAACTAAAACCTTGAAAGAAAGAAATACAAATCCATGTTGAAATAGAACATTGCTATAACCAATATGACTGATTCAGATTTCAAATGTAAAAACAAACAGTCTGACTGATTAAGATTTCAGACTTCAATACCACCTCTTAAAAATTAGAAGTGAAATAAGATTTCAGCACCTCTTAAAAAAACAAACACAATCTAAGTCCATTTAAAATCAGTTTTTCTGTCTTTTAAAATGTTATTATTGAGCCGAATTTGGTACATTAAAAATGTAAAACATATTAAGATCGTTTGGAGTTAAGTTAAAAGTAAAGTATGATATTAAACTATAAAAGAAAAAAATATGGAAAATTGCATCAAAATGGAACCAACTTTTACTTGATTCCTATTTTGGGGAACCAATTTTTCAAAATTGTCATTTTGGGGAACCAACTTTCACCTGATTTATATTTTGGGGAACCAACTTTCAAAATCGTCATTTTGGGGAACCAACTTGGACCTGATTCCTATTTTGGGGAACCAACTTTCAAAATCGTCATTTTGGGGAACCAACTTGCAAAATAATTATAGAAAAATAACTAAAATTTGTTTTTTTTTCAAAAAATAATGCAATAAAATCTATTTTTCATTTCAAATCTCGTTTTTTTTAATTTAGATATCAAATTGAAGATTTTTTCAAAAAAAAATTCAAATTACCACAATAAAAATCGTTTTTTTACTAATGCAATAAAAAATCAATTTAATATAAAAAAATTAATTGATGCAATAACAAATAAATATTAAATATCACATTTAAGATTTTTATATCTAACCAATCTGTGTCAATATTAAAGTTTAAATCAAATTTGACAAATCCAACCAATAGTTTGATTGAGACCCTTAAATTACATGTTACTTGTTCAACAGATCAACCAGACTCTTAAATAAACAAAAAGTTTGATAAAGACCCTTAAATGACGATTTTAAAAGTTGGTTCCCAAAATAGGAATCAGGTGAAAGTTGGTTTCATTTTAGTGTAATTTTTCCATTTTTCTATAATTATTTTGAAAGTTGGTTCCCCAAAATAAAAATCAGGTGAAAGTTGGTTTCGCAAAATGACAATTTTAAAAGTTAGAAAGTTGATTTTATTTTTATGCAACTTTCCCAAAAAAATAATAATTCAAAATGATAAATGGAATGGAACGGATTCCACGAGCAGAGATATTAATTTAAAGAGAGAAAAAATCTCTATACTTATGGAGTGGACGTGGAGGCCAGCGATTGGATGGGAGAAAGATAAGAAACAAGTGTTCCAAAATGGTTAGGGATTCCAATTATATGTATATCTTCTTGGTATCTACCATTCCCCAGTAACCAAGCATTAACAATGGCAACAATATCTGGTGTTAGCCTCTCGATTCTTCCCAAAGTGCTATCATCAGATTCTCCCAAAGGTCTCAAGTCCCCATGGGTGAAGATGCCTACCGCCACTAGTACTAGGATGAGGTCTGGAAGGATGTACGTGAGGGCGGCACCTGAGGGTCTGTCCGAAAAGATAGCCTCCAGCATCGAGAGTGCAAAGGAGTCATGTGCAGAAGATCCGGCCAGCGGAGAATGCGTGGCAGCGTGGGATGAGGTGGAAGAATTGAGCGCGGCGTCTAGCCATGCTAGGGACAAGGCCAAAGACACGGACCCCTTGGAGACGTATTGCAAGGACAACCCAGAGACCGATGAGTGCCGTACCTATGAGGATTGATTGATCGATGCAATTCATGTATTTTAATCCGTCCTCCTCAGATATTGTTTAGTAGACTACCTTTTTTATTGAATTATTATAACTGAACTTGTTGTTGTTATGTATGATACATGAAACATGCTATGATATTTGGGTCATATATACCATACTTGAATCACCTTCATCGATTTTATTCTCCATACTTTTCTCATGTTATATATCTACTCAATCATCATTCTTCTCCCATGATTTTAAGAGAAAATGATGATATTATTTAATAATTCCAATTTTATAATTGTTTACAAACAAATTTGAATTTTGAAAATTGGAAAAGGAGGACTATGAATAATTACTTATTTTCAAATAAAGACATGAAAATAAAAATTACTGACATATTTGTTAAGCATCAATACTAGGAAAAAAAAAATACTATACAACACTTGAGTTGCAAAGGAACCGGAATATCATACATATTAAAAATCGTATGATATTATTGAAAAACAAAATAATTGAATTTTTTTTGTTATTGTTGGGAACTTGGGATTCATAATTAAGATAGCACAATGGTTAATAAAATATTTACGGTTTCTGGCAACAAAATATCTACGGTTTCTAAATTTTTATTATTCTTCTAAAAACTAATATTATCATACAACTACTTTAGATCTCACATCAGTTGAAGAGAGGAACAAAGGTTTCCCTATAAGAAACTGGATACCACAACGAGTTTTAAAACTGTGAATTCAAGAATGAACAAAAAAGACAATTTCTAATACAATTAGCCTTAGATGTTACTAAAACTAATTTTCCAGTAATTTTGAATTTGGTCTCAATTCTTTCTTGCATATTTGATTTATATATTTTAAAAGGTTGTATTTTAAGAAATATTTGGAAAATGGTGACCAGAATAATGAGCAACAAATTATTAAAAAAAAACTAACAAACAAACAAAGTTAACTTACAGGCTTGAAAAAATCAATAGACTTACCGAAGTGCAATAGAATGAATGTTGGATTTTTACTAAAATAATCTTACAACTTTATGTTTTATACTATAAACGACACATCCTTTTTAGAGCGTCTCTTTATCCCTGTGTACCCACGTTCTTGGACCATGGCCTCTATACCATTATTAGATCATATGACAAAAAAATTGGAAGAGAAAGCATCTTCAACAAGGCATTAACACTTAAGCCCATCATTGGATGGCAAGTCGCAACTTAAGAATGGATCCCAATCACCTACAACAATTAGGGGTCCCAACTGGTTGATTAATTTGTATGAAATTAAATGAAATCTATAGAAGAATTATCTGAGCAGGTTTGAAAAAGGATCTTAGAGTGTAGGGGGTGTTTGGTTCGTAGAATGAAATTTGATGGAATTGGAATTCATCAAATGAATGACTTTGAAGGAATCAAATGGAATTTAACCATGTCTTGTGATTGCGTTTGATTGCATGAAATTTGAAAGAATTTGGATTAGGGACGGAATTTGTCGGAAATGAATTGAAATCCGAGGGTACTGTAGTAGAATGTAAAATCCGCAAGTGAAAGAATTTATTGGAATTGAAAGAAATCCATCATTTTTATTCCATGAACCAAACATTGTATTTGGAATTTGGTCAAAGGATTTGATCATTCCAATTTCTTTCAATTCCATCCAAATCCATGAACCAAACAGCTCCTCTTGTGTTGGATGGCAAATGATAACAATAAGTATCCGTCCAACCTACTTGTACTACTATTATTACTATTCAAGTTACCAAACATTACATACTGCTAGAAGCCAGAAAATTAGAACATCAAACCAACATGATTTTCAAACACCCATAAAAAAAGAAAAAAAAAGAGTACATATCATAGCAAACTTAGCATACTTAAGAACACTAAACAAGTAGCAGACATACAAATACAAATTCATGAAGAAAACGAGACAAAAACAAAGAAGATGAAAGGAATTATGAATACTAGAACATGTTCAAGTTGGATGCTGTGATAGGGTGAGTCGGGCAGGGAAGCTTCCATGGTTCCAGCAAAGTATCAGGAACTTCAGGAATGTCCATAGCCAGACCACTAACCTCCTGAGCAATGTGCAGAACAGAGTTCAAGGAATGCAACCTGTCCGTCAATTCTGTCAGCTGGGCTCTCAGAACATTATTCTGAGATGCAACCCCAACAAACATATGTGTTGCCCCATCAATCTTGCGCATTATTGTGTTGTTATCATTCTGTAAGTGGTTGATTTGACCAAGCAATTCATCCAGACAAATTTGCTTCTTGGCACGGGATCTACGAGCAGATTCCCTGTTTGAGATCATCCTCTTCCTTTTCCTTTCATCAAGGTTTGCATACCTGGGATCTCCATCAGACCCCGATTTGGGTGATGCCATCGGCAAAGTCGGAAGGATGGTTTATAAAGTTATCAAAGTAGAATCAAGGGTTTGATTAGTAACAATAGTTCAAGGATTTGAATAAATAAATCGATTTACGTTCAGGACTAGGGCAAATTCATGAAAGCTCGTGAAACCAGTAGAGAAAAACAACGGAAAAGGAGTGAAGAATTCGGATCCGATGCATCAATATAGCATACGTCATGAATAAGTAGTACTCATCTAATCATAAACCAGAAATACCAGAGAAACCCTAGATTTGACAGGCAGATAATCCTCTAGTAAGAACAAGAAGAAAGCAACGATCTGCAACACAAACACACAAAAATCAGAAAGATGATAAACAGTCGCTTATTACGATTACAAAGACCAAAATCAGAGATCAGAAAATAAGAATGAAAAGAAGATGGGAAAAGCAAACCTGGAGAGAAATAATGGTAGGTAGGTAGGCGATGGCGAGCGAACCAAAAGAAGGTTTGCAAAGGAATGTGGATGGTGATTTTATAGGGATTAAGTCGCAGGTTCCTAGAGATTTCCCAAATATTTTAATATTTAAAATCAATATATTGCTTAAACCATGCCTTCTACATTTGTTAGTTACAAAAAAGGCCCCTATTTTTTTTTCCTTTTGAAATCTGTTCCCTTTGTAACTTATTGGTGGACAATTCAAGAGTTTCACACCACACCACACCACACCACACCACACCATATCGGTGCTGTTCTCTGAATACCAAAATATTTCGATTTATGAAATAATAATACCTATTAATAAACCAAAGTCGCATATTTAGTTGCTGCAAGATATTTGGTTACTTAATTTGCTTATTCTTTTTATCTGGTTTCTTATTTGTAATGAATGGTTTTAAAACGAGGATGATCATTTATACTTTGATGGAGTGTAATTGGAATAACTGAAAATGTAAAGGTTGGTTTTTAACAATACCATAAAGATAAAGGTCTAGAATGTGAATCACATGGAGGAGTGGCTATAACATTGTTAGGTGGTTGCCAGCGAAGCCACGTAATGTTGATTGGTCGTCTGATTTTGACCGTCTGTTTTCTAGATAGATCTTGGACGACGGTATTTTTGGTGACTTTTTAAAACTCGAATCTTTTCATGACTTTAAATTTAATTGTTATGTCAATATATATCAATTTTTATTATATATATACTAGTTGTGTATCTGTGCATTGCGATGTGAACCGTGAATTTTAACGATTTTGAAGTTTCAGTGGTTTTGTTAGAGGAGATTTTAACAATGATATAACTTATATTTGATCTCTACATATTAATACAATTTGAATAAATAAAAGTTATGATTTCAATTACAGTCTATCGATGGAGACTTGCATTGCATGGAGTGTGTTGCTTATCGAGTTGTGCTTCCAATCAACAATTCATCTAATCATCTCCATAGTCATGAAATTGTGATATTGATATCATTTTTTGCTCTTAATAGCACCAGAAGCAAAGTTAATGTTCCTTTATGAAAAGTTCAATCAAATAGAAAAACTCAAAAACACAAACGTACTATTTCATTGATTAAATAAAAAAAATGACAACTTACTGTTTTACATATTTTTAGGTGCCAAATTCTGCATTTACATAGATTGAAAAAGTATATAATCGATGTTTTATAAAAGAGCTGAAAACCAAATTGCTAACAAAAAAATACCATAAAAACAAAAATAAGTAATAAATTCCCTAAAAATAAAAAGGTTAGAGATGATGTATGGCTTGATATGAATCCAGTTTCATAAGCTTTATCTTCATCATTTGATCCAGATCCAATTACTTGTCTGAATAGTCAAGAAACATATTATTAAATATTATTTATAGAAACATGGTTATCAACATCAATGATATGATAAATTACATACAGAAACTCAAATAATTAAATCTCAAGCTTGTGGAATCAAGAAACCGATCCTCTCCAAAGCCCAAACCGTCCATCAGCACCTGGACACGTGCACCTTACATCTCAATTAATGAACATACTTAAAATCGTGACCATTTATATCAATCATTGCATTATAAGTCTCCTATTACAAAAAAAAAAGTCAAGAAAATAATAGTTGACATTTTAGAATTTAGACTGCTACATAATATGCCAACCTTATTTACCCAACAATGTCAATGAACATCTTGATTGTATATGTTTTTTGTTCATCTATCAAAAACAAATTGTTTTACAATTAGTTTCACTAACCCACATGTTCATGAAAGAAATGATATCTCTACGAACTTTTGCATTGTGATGAGATGTTTGCTGAAGAAACTCTTTTAAAGTTAAACCTTTTTGCTCACAACTATTACGACCTTCTCAAATGACGCACTTTGTTCTGGCAATATGATTGTTGCACATAACATGTTGGGATATCAAACACACTATGAGTTGTTATCATTCTCTTAAGGGAAGGGATTGATCTAGAGAGAGGAAAAGAAGGGGCATAGCAGAACCTCGGTCATCATCATCAAAGATACTTTTGTCATATTATACTTCTAACTAATATATAGCTTCCTTATAATACTAACATCAACAGATGTATTTGGAAGTATCACAAGCCCAAAGATGTTATAATATATTAAGTGGTTGGTAACCAACGATTTATTACTTGGTTTATGAAATACATAGTAATATAGACATGTGTCTTGAGACATAATATGCAACTTGTTATCTTAAATGACATGACAATCCAACTAATTGCATAGTCAAAATCCATGTTGTATGTAATTCAAGGAGGTTGACTTCCTTGCTTCTCATGGTACAATCTTCATCCTGTCAAGCTTTCTTTCTACTCGGACCACATAGACAACATGTCTATGAAGGGATATGGGTAGGTTGCCCTCTCACACTTAAGGCATTGTTTTTACATCTTATTGTCAAGTTAAATATATGGATATTTTGCTCGAGAGCTTGACGATTTTAGGAAAGAGGTCCAGGTAGCTCAACTCGCTACAGTAAATAATGAAAAAACATGTGTGCCAATGTGCATTCCCCATATGTAAGCCACACCTCTATAGGGTTTAGGGGTTAGGTTTAGGGTTTAGGGGTTAGGGCTTGGGGTTAGGGGTTAGTGGTTAGGGGTTAGGGTTTGGGGTTTGGGGTTTGGGGTTTAGGGTTTTTTTGATAGGGAGGGGGGAGACCCCTCCAGATCAAGTAAAAAACACTAAAATGCTAAAAGCAACAATGAAGCGCGCGGGTGGGAGGAAACCTCAACCCCCAGCATAACCAAGGCACCCCGAGGGGAAGAAGGAGAAAGACAGAAAAAGAAGAAAGAAGAGAAGAGAGGGAGAAAGAGAGGCAGAAGGGGAGAGGGAGAAGGAAACCAACCACAGGGGAAGGGCCCAGCCAAGCCAAGACCGGGAAGCAACGGGGAGCACCGCAGGTGCAGGAAAAGGGGTCTAAAATAGGCACACCCTAGACTGCGCCAAGAAAAACAAGAGAGCAAAGAAGCTCACACGAACAGAAAGACAACACAAGAGACCAAACGACTAAGAAATGAGTAAGACGACCATCCCGAGTTCTCCAGAGGAGCTTATCAGGGGTGGTCAGGGAGAGAGCAGGGAGGGGAGAGACACAGATAGAAGGGTTTGAATGGTCCCTCAGGAGAGGAGACGTCCAATTGCCCTGGGAAACAATATCTCTGACAGAAGCAGAGAGAGAAAGATTGGAATTGAGAATATTACGGGGGGAGATATGCCGGTAGAGGGGGCCAGCCGGATGCCAGTTATCATACCAGGCAGACGTGGACGTGCCATCACCAATCTGGGAGACAATGAAGTCTCTTATCTTTTCCCTCATACCAAGGATCTTCCTCCAGCCCCAACCCACATCACTGCGTATCGGGGCATTCCAGAARTTACGATCTTTCAGCCTGTAGGAGTGTATCCATTTAACCCAAAGCGAATCCCTAGTGGTAAGGATTCGCCATGTGTGGGAGGCCATGAGGGCWAGATTCCAGGTGGCAAGGCTCTTGATACCCAGCCYGCCTTGAGATTTGGGGAGGCARACAGTCTTCYARGAGACCTTAGCTTTCCCCCTTTTAAGCYCAYCGTGGCACCACAGAAAGCCCCGCATGAGCTTCTCAATCTCTTTGGATATGGAAATCGGAAGCACAAAAATAGAGGCCCAATAGATCTGCATCGAGGACAAGACCGAGAGAATGAGCTGCAGTCTACCGGCAAACGAGAGAGACTTATTCTTCTAGTCATTAAGCCTGGAGTTGACCTTGTCAACAAGACCCTTACAATCCCTGTGATAGAGACAGGTGGTAATGAGAGGGACACCGAGATAACGCACCGGGAGGGAACCCTCCGGAAACTGAGTGATGGAAAGGATGGAATCCTTGGTGTGCTGGCCAACATTGCAAAAGAAGGCCTCGCACTTGGCCGGACTCGGAAAAAGACCAGATACACTCGAGAACTCATCAAGGGAATCCTTTATGACCCGGGYGGAATCACTRTCACCATGACTGAATATGAGGAGATCATCAGCAAAGCAGAGATGGGTGATCTTCAGCTCCTMACAATTCCGGTGGTATGAAAAAGTGCCCGTCTCACGAATTTTCCTTTTGGTCAAGAGGTTGAGGACCTCCATGACCAGGGTGAAGAGATAAGGGGAAAGAGGATCGCCCTGCCTGAGGCCACGACCTCCCTTGAAGAAGCCATGGAGGTTTCCATTAATACTGACCGAGTAAGAGGCCGTGGAAACACATGACATAATCCATTTAATCATGGTAAGGGGAAAACCATAGCCGAAGAGGGCAATGCAGAGAAAATGCCAATCAACGGTATCATAAGCCTTTTGGATATCAACTTTAAAGGCACAGCGAGGGGGTCCCCGTTGCTTATAATAGCCGCGCATGAGCTCCTAAACAAGAAGAACATTATCAGTTATAAGCCGACCTGGGATAAAAGCAGACTGGTTGAGGTCAACCAGAGAAGACAGGTGATCTTTAATACGGTCAGCTATGATCTTGCTAATGATTTTATATATGACATTACAGCAAGCGATAGGCCGAAAATCAGTGACACGAGACGGGGCATCCGTCTTGGGAATAAGGGCCAGGATAGTGCTATTAATAAACTTTAAGATCTCACCATTCCTGAAAAATTCACAAACAGCGGAGCACACATCCCTGCCGACAATACTCCAAGCGGCTTTGAAAAATTTGGACGTGAAACCGTCAGGCCCCGGAGCTTTATCATCTCCCATCTGGAAAAGGGCCTGATTGATCTCGGAGTCAGTAACAGGAGCAAGCATCATGGTGGCTTGAATGGTATTAATCTTATTGGTAAAGAGAAAGGCAAGATTATGAATAGGAAAGGAGGGATGAGCAGTACCAAGGAAGTTTTCAAAATGAGAGACAAAGAGATTGGGGACCTCATCATTAGAAACCCAGAAACCGTCAGCATTTTGGATGGTATCGATGTGATTCTTGCTGATACGACTCTTAACCGACTTATGAAAGAAAGAAGAATTTCGGTCTTCTTTACGGAGCCAATTGATCTTGGCGTTTTGCT